AATTCATATTATTGCCTTTCAGGGACTGTAAGATTAGAATTTTAGCCACAGTGAAGTTAACCTTTTCATCAGACTTTGATTTGACACTGCAGTGAAACCTTTATGATTAACAGGACCATAAACCTTCAATATCTAAGAATATTCTTGCAGTCTGTAGCTTTGCCTGCTTTCTACCTAGCAGTCTAGTTCTTCTACATAAAGATTTATGTGACTGAGAGAAGATTCACAAGATAACAAAAATACTGCAAAAAGCTCTTCCTTTATTTTTTAGGAAATAGATTTTATTTGAATATAGCTAATTTAAAAAAAAAAAAAAAAAGAAAAAAAGAAACACGGAAGGAACAAAACAAACTACATTTACAGTCTTTAGACCTTACTATTTTTTAAAGTTCTCAGTACACAAAACCTACTATTATACTGACATAGAAAAATTTATGACTGTAACAAATTCTAATTTTGCATTATAGGGGTTTTTTTGGTTAATGTTTCTCCTAAAGGCTACATAAAAATATTATATGTAGCATTACAGGTGTGTATATATGTAACTATGCATATAAATATGCATTTTACACATATAAATATTATATGTAGCATTAGTAATTGAAAACTTTTAAAAAATCTTGTAGGGATTCAAATCCAATTTGTTGTGTAAGCTTCTTAGTGTTGGGCATTGTGAAGATAGAAAAATCAGATAAGTGAACAATGATGGGTTTACTAGTGTTAGCTTCAGGAGGTTTTTTTAAATCTTAAACAAGATGTACCTAAAAGTTCTGCTATGTTTTTACTGGAAAGTAATAAAAAGTTACCTCAAACTTGAAAGTTTTTGAAAAATTTAAGAATGACTGTTTTCTGCTGTATAATAATGGCAGATATGCTCCAAACACCTAAAATTACTTTGGTTCCTTTTCTATGTAAAGAAATGAGGCCAAGTTCAAAACCAACATAATCAGGCTCAACTCTTGCTATAGTCATTTTTAGCTACTATACTTCTCTATCTCATGAATGCTACTGTGATGCTTGGAAGTGGAAGAATTTACAAAAATTTTATTTAAAAATGATGTTACATCTAACTCATTACTTGGTAATGGTGTTGCTTTGAGCCTAACATCACACCGGAAAACATCATTAAAGAAAGGCAAAAAATTTCCCCATAATATCCCACTCCTGATGTCTCAGATGCATGGTACTGAAAAATACAAAAGCTAGAAGAGTGTATTGGAAACTCACATTTAGCAGATAGATTTTTTGCAAATAATATTTCCATGAGGGCTAGCTGAATCACCAATGCACAATCACCGTAATTCTGAGACGTCTGCTTGGCTCAGCAGTTTTAATACACAGATCAATTTTGCATTACCTCCTTCCGGCTATGAATGCCTGTGAGTGCTTAGAGAGGGAGATCATAAAACATTTATAGGCCTAAGAATGTAAATTACAGCAAAGAGCAAATCCTCAATCTGGGGACAGACCCTTGAAAGAAATTTTTCTGAGAAGTATGTGGTAAGAATTTGCTCTGTCTCACACCCCGTAAAATCTGAATTTTCGTTTCCTTTACAGACTTTACCTTTTGCTTAGTATTTGGGATTCTAATATGTAATGCTAAATGCCACATATACTAAAAATAATATACAATAATATTAATTATTAGTAATGTCCCATGTACCAAAAAAGATGGAAAAATAAACAATATTCCAGTTATGCTGTAGGTATTAAAGCCAATGGATAATTTAAGAAAAATAGAAAGATCACACTGACAAAAGAGTGTATAACAGCACATTGCAAAGCAAAAGCTGTCATTGTTCATATCAAACATTTATTTAAATTTTTTTCACATTACTTTCTTGAGGTAAAAGTTCCTATTGAGTGATAAAAATGTCCAATTTCTCCCTCAATATTATGTTATCAAAATCAAATGATCTTCTCAGTTAAGCATGATATGGTCATTGAGCTCCTAATTAAGAAGTCCCTTAGAGGCTTCATACTTTAGTGTAAACACCCAAGCCTTCCTGAAAAAGTATGAAAAGAGTACAAAGATTTCAAGTTCTGAAGCATACAGGAATTTGGTAATGATAAAACCATAGAATTCTCAAACTCTTTGTGTGTGTATATCTTCTAGGATTTCTGGAATTACTTAGTAATGTAACAAAAGGGGTAAACTGGGCCAGATAGAAACAAACATGACTTCTGACAATCACTAACAATGGGTGTGACCACTGTCACTAAATCAATGCTGAAATTAACCTATTTCAACGTGAGAAACAAGGAGAGAATATGCCATTAAATAATTATACAAAGCCAGTGTTTACCATAATGCCCCCATAGGATGCAGGTATTTTCAACATCATTCAAAATCTGCAGGGAAGAAACTATGAAATATGGGAGGGGAAAAGTCAGTCGTGCTGACAAATTAAATAAGGACAATGTCAAACACAATATACATCTTTATTCATGGCAGAGGACAGATATATATCTATGTCGACTGAGTAGTCTGTCCTATTTATTCCGTTTCAACCTCCTCTCCCACAAATGTTAAAAAGCTATATTACTAATTCAAAAACTAGAAAAGTACTTGTCTTGAATATGATAATCAAATGACTAAACAGCAGACAGGTATCCTGTGCATACATACATGTTAGAAAGGTGTTTTCTAAAAGGTTTTGGTGTTACAGAATCACAGAGTAGTTGAGCTTAGAAGGGACATTTTGAGATCATCTAGTACAATCCATATGCTTTTTTTCATTCAACCAATTGTAGTTGGAATTTTCTTCCTCATCAATATCTAAGCTGTTCTTTTCAATCCAGCTCATTCAAACCAAACAGTGCACTCCTATAATCAAGCGCACGGAATTCGGGGGAAAAAGAAACAGCAATATGCAATTCAGTTAGAGTGACATTTATTAAGCTCTGAAGGTCTCATCTGAACATCAATGAATGTCATACGCTGAATTTAAAATATTTACTTCTTATATACTTTGTAGGCTGAAATGGCATTTATATGCCTTGCCTTTCTGTGATAATGAAAATTTAAATCTAATATCCACAATACCTGGCTTTTTTCCACAGCCACTCAATAAAACTCAGGACCTTTAACCACAACTTGGGTTTGGTCTTAGAAATGACAGATGAAACTTTAACACCTAGGAAGGGCAGGTACTGGAAAATATATGCAAATGCATAAATGTAGGAGTCAGAACATACAATTTCTCTCCCTATCAATACCAATGATTTTTGTTTTCTTTCAAATTTGGAAGTAATTTAGTCTTATCTACATAATGGGAATAACAGCTATTTGACAGGGTGCTCAATCACAGATTCTATTCTTGGATCCCTGGGGATGCAAGGTAGCAATTACGTACTTTTCTTCCTCCATCACCTCTGGTCTGTTGTGGCAGTTTGCATCTCCAGCTCATCTCCCTGCGTCTCTCATCCCAGTCCTGTTTCTAATTTTCACTCCTGGTTCTCACTTTCACGGTTATTCCCGTCTTTTCTTGTCACTGAGCTCTTCACCTCAGTATCTTGGTAAGTTGTTTCCAAGGGCTCATTAGTTATTTGCCTTTCTGCATCCTGATATCCTCAATGGAAGCTATAACAGCAGGAGTCTGGAAAGCAGAGGGAAGAAAATTTCACTGGTCTCTGTTTCAGTATATTGTACTACTCCTGTCTTTTTTGCAAGAAGAAAACATAACCAAATTTTACTCAAACTTAAAAGCCCCAAGCTGGAACATGTACAGAACAGACCATCTTTCACAAAGTTAAGCATCACACTAAAATTAAAGTCTTTAGGAATCATGTGGAAAACTGTGAGGTTTTTCATTTTTTTTCTAAAGCATAGAATTTGGCCAAATTATAATGATTTAAAAGATTTTCACATGGAAGACAAATATTAAAAAAAAAAAAAAATCTCCACCTATCAGGGCAATGCAATGTCCCCCTTTTCAGACAGTACAAACAATTTCTTAGCAAATATTTTTTTTTTTTTAATGGAAAAATGACAACATTTTGCTCCACGTCTCATGACAAATAAGCTGGTGTTTCCAACATTACCACCTGAATTTGTCCTGAGAGATGCACATCATCTAAATCAAAGTTACACAAAACATAAAAAAGGTAGTTCAAAGGTTAAGTGTGTCTTCAGGGGTAATGCTGTAGTCTGAATCTCCTGTAACAATGCTGGGTCATACTCCACAGATCATAATTGCCTGTAAGAAAAGAGATGTACTCTACAAATGTCTGTGAGTGAGTTTTAGCACTTTTCAATATTAAAACATGAATTCTTTCTGACTGTATACTGAGAACAGAAAGGTAAGATTCTGGAACTACTATAGTATTTTTGAAGAAAAATCTGGAGCAAATTAAATGTGTTTCCACACTTCTCCATTTTGACCCTGAAGACCAAAGTCTATATATAAAAGAAAAAAAAAAAAAAAAAAAAAAAAAAAAAGTATTGTCTGTAAGAGATAATTTTTGGTCCATCAGAGCAAGTCATTCAGATTCTGTCCTAACCTTTGTCTGCTAAAAATACAGTTCATCAAAACCATTCAACATTATAATCAATCTTTACAATCAACTTTGAGAGATTGTTCCCCCACTTATTCTTCAATGAGAAGTGTAGGCATGTTTTTCCCCTCTCTGTCCTGTCACGGTAGAGACGGTCAAGCGACAATCAATAATCAAGTTAGAAGCAAAAGAAGTGTGTGCTTTATTGTTTTCTATATACTTTATGTATCTTTTACTACTGCAAGCTCTAACATAATTGGCTAAACCCATAGCAACGGCTACACCCATAGCAAGGGTACATGATTGGATAGCTTTCTTAAAGTTTTACTTCTGAACATGATTCACACCGTTCCTTGTCTGTGCTCAGTTTCATGTTTCTTGCAGCAGATGTTCGCTGTCCTTGCTCCTTATCTGTGGTATGCCCTCCTGCATGCAGACTTCTCACAGGTACAGGATGATCTGGCTGAGGTCAAATTCCATCTGCTCTGCCAGGCTTTCAGAAGACCCGCTGCCTACCCCAACAATTCCCCCTTTTTGTATTTGTGCTACAAATATTGCATGAGCAGCCTTCTGCAGGGCCCTTTGCAGGAGACTGAAAAGACATGGCAACATTAAAGCACACTTATGATGACTAACAGGATCATTCCAGTGGTTCTGATCAAAGAGATCAGCCAGCCCGATAACCCCCATCCTTTAAACAACTTTGTTAGCCAATCGAGACCATCATCTTCTGTTAAATGCTTAACACCATCTTTTAACTGTTGTATGCTCTTATGGATCGATTCAGAATGATCTGCAGTTCCTGGGGAAACCTGGTTGCAGCGAGGATTTAGAGTACCTTTCCTTAAAAGTTGGAAATCCTACGCGATGCGTCCATCCATAGGTGAGGCATCCAGCATCGCTGCAAGCAGATCCAGTCTCTAAATCAACAGGCCAAAATAACTGGCAATTTTCTTTGTGCAGAAACATCTGATTTCATCCTCCTGTTGGGTTCCACCCAGAGCCTGGCCACCGCTCAAGGGGGAAAACCAAAGGAGTTTCTAATAAGGTTAAACACTTGAGTTCTTAATTCTTGATATTGGTAAGCAAAGTTAGTTGAAAACACACATTCTTACAGCATTTCATCCTTATTAATAACTACATTCCATCTAAACTCCATCTTTCACTAGTGACTGGTAAGCCTATATATCTCATTAAGGAGTTGCAATTACTGTTAGCATTTTCTCTTAAAAGAATTGGCAACTGTAGTGTAGTTTGTTCTGTTGCAGTAGCAAACATTACCCAGACATTCTGCTTAAACGATCAGTCGAAGAGATCACAAACTGTCGGCACAGGGGCACTCACAGCACCCACAGCTGGATCCTGAGTGCTGGCTGCCTCTCACGCCTCAGGTGTGGTTGCACACACCTTGCTGGTAACCATCGGGAGCTGTGACCTGTGGGAACACAAGCATAACCTCTTCCCCAGGTTAATAACTTACGTGGTCCACTCCACTGGCCAGTAACTAAATCTTTAACATGTACTTTGGTGCCCTTTTGCAAATTCCGTTTTGAAAAAAGAGAGGAAAAATGTTGCAATATAGGAGGTGTAGAAGCAACATCCCCATAAACTGCTTTATCTAAACATGCCTGAGGTGGTTCCCCAACCATTCCCCCTTTTTGTGTTTTTGAAGCTGCCGCTTCAGCGTGCCATGTGCTTGCTCGACAATTGCTTGTCCTGTTGGGGAATGGGGAATCCCTGCAACATGAGTAACACTCCATAAATTAAAGAATGTTTGAACTTTCTGTGAAGCATATGCTGGGCCATTATCTGTTTTAATTTGGCGTGGCACCCCAAGGACAGAAAAAGCTTTTTGTAAATGTCGGATTACATCCTTACTTGTTTCTCCATTATGTGCTGTTGCTGCCAAAGCATGTGAATAAGTATCAACAGAAACATGAACATATTTCTGTGGATCAAACTCAGGTGTATGAGTAACATCAGTTTGTCAAATCTGTAAAGCGTGAATACCTCTGGGATTGGTACCGAAATACACTGGAGTATGAGTTCCTTGACAATCAGGACAAGCAGCAACAATAGACTGACCTTCAGAATGAGACAAACCGAACTGCTGTCGTAGAGCTTGAAAGCCTTGATGAAAAACTTGAGATGATAGAACAGCTTGTTGTTTCACATTAGGAACAGTACTCAAAGCCATCGCAGAGACAAGAGCATCAGCTCTGTCATTACCTTCTGTATAAAATCCAGGTAAAGTGGTATGGCTACGTATGTGCACGATAAAATAGGGTTCTGTGAGTGACTGAATAGTTTTCCAAAGTTCTAACAAAACCTCAAATAACATTAGATTGTTTGACCAAGTTAAGACTACTTTGTCCAGTCGGGAAACTAAGTTAGCCACATAAGCCAAATCAGTTACAATATTAATAGGAGTAGGAAAGGTAGAAAAAACAAGAGTCATCGCACGCAGTTCAAGAATTTGTGGAGAACCCTTTTGGTAAACAACCTTGTTATTCCAGACATCATTCTCGTACCACACCACTGCTGCTTTACCAGTTTTTCCTGATCCATCCATGACTACGGTAAGGCCTTTAACAGGTTCTGGCTGGCTCAAGTGCTTCTGACCAAATGGCATTGCTTGAGCAAATTTCAGTAGCGGGTGTGATGGAAGATGATAAGACACTTGTCCCTGAAAGTCTGCTAAGGCCGCTTGTAACTCATACTTGTTTGCAAGGCACCACTCAAAGTACCAGTTCTGAACA